AATGCTGAGGGCGTTTACTTTAAGCCCGTTCATCATTGCCCTTCCCTTTTTCAAGGCTTCAATATCTCCTGACATTTGATTGTCCATAGATATTCTCTCGATGAAATAATTAGTAATTGTATGATCTGATATTTTGGGCACTAAACACTGGTGCTCAACAGTAAGAGTCTTGAAATTAGTGGTAGGCCAATCATCAATACCACCAAACACCTCATCTTCAACATTACTTACACCAAATCTTTTGAAGACCTGATTATCATGCTGATATAGTCTGAAAGTATAGATTTGCAAAGTAAGAATACTATGAAAAGGATGTTACCTCTTTCTAAGCACTGTGTAAAAATGCCATAAGGAATATTGTGAATCATCGGCTCATTGGGGATGACCCTTAACCATGAAATTAGCTGGCCCTTGATGTCTACAATAGGTAGTTGAGGTGTCCCAGTGCTCCTCCAGTGGTTACCAACAACTTCAAAACCCCAAATGTAGGATACAGTACATGTAGGATGGATGAGGCAACAATGAAACAGCAAATTAATGATAACCAGGCAGCTCACCTACAAAAAACAACACATATGATGCACTGTAATTTGAATAATGCATTTTTCCTTATGGTAACTAAGGGGATATTGTCCTATTAACAAGCCTAAAATCTCAGAACACAAGAATTGCAGTTGTAAACCCAGCTGTACATCTGTATGTATTGATCAGGTCAGGTGTAAATGTACTACAGTTTGTAAGTAGCAAATACTCAGCACGGTAAGTTGATAAAACTTCAAAAATCCAAAATATTAAGCTGTAAGATATCCTTTATTGACGGGAATAAAGATAATTACACATAAAACCGAAATAGAGGGTGTATTTAGCGCCGAATAATTTTATAAATTGAGGATGAAACTGTAGGCCTTTTCGGTGAAACAGCTGAAGGTCAACTGACCTACATTTACAGACAGCAAATAACCTGAAAAATCGGCGATCGGCTTTCCAAAAGTATATGAATGTTTGATAACAGAACTACCTATCCAACATCACGCTTTTCCTTCCGGAGGCATCCAAACCCCGCTTAATAAGTTCCAATTGAACCTGTTTGTGTGTATTTCGCGTACATTTTGAATGTAGCTATCCCAGAATTCTTAGCGCGGAGGACAGATAAATCGACGCGACATCTTTAAATACGGCGGAAACTAAAATCATTTGGGAATAATTGATTTAAAATGTAAAACTCTGCATTTCCTTTTGCTTTTATCCCACTTGTGCCTTCCACAGGTTAGGGCATAAGCAATACCATCCAATGATTCCATAAATGCTATAACTATTTGTATATGGGTTGTACTCAACCCATATATAGTGAGATTTGGAGGGCACAAACCTGGACTGGATTTTTTCCATAGATCTTTACAACACCATTACGGTTTTAATCTATAATCTACTTGTCTACTTGAAGATGCTCGTCTGTGTATCAATTTTTGGTTAACTTGATTTATGCCAAAAGTGAATTAATTTTGACGTACATCGACTTCAGTCAAAATGGGGCAGCCTTCAGACTCTACATTCCAAAATTTTATTTTCCTGCCTACTGATTGTGACTTAAATGTCTTCTGCACAATGTACAATAAAGAATATTGGTATGATCAGCAAATCAACTGTGATATTATAAAACACTATACATTGACAAAACTGACACCTGCCCGGGAGGATTAAATGATTGCGCAAAAATCACCTCAATTTTGCATGTACATGTTTATGAATGTATTGAAAGGAATTACATGTTATTATGTTGCTTAGAGCCATGGTAAGGATATATGCTTCTCAAGAGGTCAAGCTCCAGTGCAGATATACACATCAATTCATGAAAAGATCATACGGATAAAGGAAATATACTTGAATATATATAAAACACAATTGTCACAATCATTCTAAGGATTTTAAAATGGCTGACAGCATTTTATTTCATGCTGAAAATTGCAGAAAAGTTCCATTTTTTGCACAACGCCTGGTCCTTATCTAGATTTTTATATATCTCAAGAGGTACCTTAGAAGTACACTATTTCCTCACTACATATAACTTTCTAAGTAAGAACCAGGCGTTATATGAACATAGCAAGAGTTCATCATGACTTTCCTCTCTCAAAGAATAAGTAGGTCAACACAATTACAAGCATAATTCATCCCTTATTCAATGGCTATTTAAATATGACTATTTAAGTGTATAAAATATTAATTCTATGAGTGTATAGAGTGACACAATTAAACAATTAAAAACTGCCAAGTTAGGTTTATACATTCTGGAGACTATTGCTGAAACTGATAAAAAATCTCATTTTCACAGGAAGTGATACATAACTCCTAAATCGACCAAAATATATGTATTTGAGTAAAGTTGAATGCTTATTATTGTTATTTCTTTAAAATATACATATTTATCTACAATTTGATCTTACATATCAAGGATATTAACGACATTGCATTTTTCGAAAACTTTTAAGTGACCCCAGGGATGTCTATAGCCATTCGTTCTTTTGGTTGATCATGACTTCAACAAACGATTTTGTGGAAAGGAGGAGGGAAATTAGCGCAACAGATTCTGGACAGTTATATGTTGGATTTTGGCCATTTTCTGAGGATTCAAACAATTGCATATGTTAGGCCAATGCATTACCTCCAGGAAAATCACTTCTAGAGATGATAAAATAATTTCGACTTTGAGACAGGGTAGATGCAAACAACCCACCCACATGTTTTTTCTGAAATGTTTTCCTAATTTTCGACCCCTTCCCTCCCTGCTTTTTTAATTTTTCTTGCATCAATATGTTGCATTTTGACACATAGTTAACCACTTTAAAGGAATAAGTGATTCCTTCAGGGGTTTTAAAGATACCCTTTATGGGTGACCAAACTTAGCTGAAAGCAATGATTTTTCCGATGGGAAAATAACATGGGAAATATTGTTTTCCACTTTATCTAAAAGGAATCATTTATTCCTTTTAAGGGATTAAACATGTGTCAAAACGCAACATATTGATGCAAGAAAAATAAAAAAGCAAGGATGGAAGGGGTTGAAAATCAGGAAAACATTTCAGAAAAAACATGTGGGTGGGTTGTTTGCATCTACCCTGTCTCAAAGTCGAAATTATTTTATCATCTCCAGAAGTGATTTTCCTAGAGGTAATGCATTCGCCTATCATATGCACCTCTTTAAATCCCCAGAAAATGGCCAAAATTAAACATATGACTGTCCAAAATCTGTTGCGCTAACTTCCCTCCTCCTTTCATGAAAATTATTGAGAGTTGAAAAAGCTATCGGGAAAAAGAGAGGGATGATTTGTTCTATCCAGACGACTATGAGTGTAAAAACCTCACAAACTTTAAAACGACGTTGGAGGTATAATATACCTGGGACCACAGTAAGTATGGAATACATCAATTATGCAAGGTCGTTTTTTTTATACAGAGTTTAATTCCAAACCATCTCGTGCATAACCCTTATTTATATCCAAGGAACATGTGTACGTTTTTAGAGATTTTATTATATAAAATAAAACATATTTACAAAACTTTTTGGCACGGGGAGACGGCTATCTATCGACCAGAGCTTGCGTATATTGTATACAAAAAACGATTACGTAATCATGAGATAATGTTACAAATCATGATTATGTAACCTAATATAATCATTAATCTTTGGGATAAGAGCCGAGGGCCCCGTGGGGACCGATTGATGAGATAGATAGTCGCCTTCGAAGTCCAGTCCACCCGATACCCCTATTAAGGGGGCGAAGGGGTGGGGGAGGGTAAGCGTCTGACTTCCTCAAGATGCGAAAGCTAGACTATGTAAACCAAACTACTACAGGACAGGTGGTATAGCATTAAGGTAAGTTATTGTCCTGGCCTAATTGAATCTATCAACAGACTTTTAATGGGGTTGGTAGGACAGACACCGTTCTCTGTGATATAAGCCAGATTTAACAAAATTTGTTAAATCAAAATTCATATCCAAGGAACATGTGTCGAACGTTTTCATAGATTTTATTATTAAAAATATAACATATTTACAAACCTTTTTGACATGGGGAGACGGCTATCTATCGATCAGAGCTTGCGTATATTTTATGGCAAAAAACGATTAGGTAATCATGAGATAATGTTACGCAAGGAAAGCGCAAATCATGATTATGCAACTTTATATAATCATTAATCTTTGGGATAAGAGCCCCAAAACCAGTATACTTGTGAACGAGAGTTTAATTATTACAATTAGATGCTCTGTGAACGAAAGAATACGCCGTTCCCCAAAGCCTTAATTATATACTAACTTGAGGTCTATAATAATGAATTATTTACACAACATACAAGAGCGATGTAACATCTGTTTTTGCATCTTTTCAGTTAAAAATGATAGTGATAGTTCCACGTTCAATTTAGGTCTATATTTTCTGGTCATCGGTTGGTATTTGACGGTCATGATGTAGATCGAAGATCTATGAGAACTGTTTCGCGCTCCTCGATGGATTATTCGTGGTGATGGTGCTTTGGTTTTCTATTGTGGCCCTTCTGGTCCTACATTAACAAATAGCAAACAACAATTCGGTATTATAAGGACCAAAATATCCGAATATATAACTTATTTCAATCTCTTATAATGGCTTATGAAATAATGGGAACTTATTGTGTGATTAACTTAGGACAAACGTGATTAGATGAAAGACAACTGTGAATGAACGAATCTGGAAAAAATGTGATCCTACACCCATGGACAAACAAATAATGTCTTGGGTAATATGAGGCAAATATGGGAACATAAAATTGTGAGAGATGGAAAATATTCCAAGTTCAAACTCAAGGAAAATTTGAAATTCAAACCACAGCACACATTTGGTGTGAACTTAGTTTTATATTTTAAACATAACCTTCTGAGAATAGAATACGTTTAAGGCTACTCGTACATACCGCCTCTACTTGTGTCGGCTGAGCGATCGCCACAGAAATTAATCTCCAACACATCACCTCGAGACACATGAATCAAGCTTGGTGACAGTTTCTGTTCCCGATGTTCCCGATGCGCAGTCCAGGTTCGTTTCTATTTCATTTATCGAAGACTGAGATGATGAGTTGCTTTTGTTTATCACCTCACCAGGCTCGTTATTCGCTTGTATTGAAATAGAGGCTGATGTGACATGTTTACAACATGACAATCTAAACATCTTTTCAGTTTCATCGTCGTTATTTAATTGTTCACTCAATTTCTCCAGAGCATGCTTTAGATTAAAAGCTAGAGACACGGGGCATTTCCAGACATTTAGACTGTATTCCTTTTCCCATCCCGCAAAAACCATGAAGCAATCCGGGCTGTGATGTCCAATGGTGGAATCATACTGAATCTCTACTATTGTGCCACTATCTCCTTCTTCACTGAAGTATTCGCTCGACAGCACAGAACCGATAATTACTAAATTAGAGCACCATGCTGTTTTGTTATCGATTTCGATTTCTCCTGCATATTTTAAACACTTTATTTTGCCCTTGTTCAGACTTTTTGAAAATCCCAGTTTTACAACTATTCCTTTTGTAAGAACATCTTTGTTGGTCGATGAGAGGGTTGAACAGCATTCATGACATGGTTTGCATTGATCTACCAAGTCTTTGTGCTTTTCATCTATTAATACAAGTGCAATATCATATTGTGCTGGTACACAATCATTCGCACCATTTTCATCACCAGTAGTATCAACATCGTCGGTGAAGCCATCTTCAAGACTGTCTTTAGATACGGCGTCGTTGTCATCGTCAGAATAATCATCAGAACTGTCCCGAGAATCGCCGTCGATGTCGTCGTCAGAATAATCATCAGAACTGTCCCGAGAATCGCCGTCGATGTCGTCGTCAGAATAATCATCAGAACTGTCCCGAGAATCGACGTCGATGTCGTCGTCAGAATAATCATCATAATCATCAGAACTGTCCCGAAAATCGCCGTCGTTGTCGTCGCCAGAACTGTCTTTGAAAATAACCCATTCGTCTTCGTCTTCATTATCACGATCCTTCAACTTTAGTGGTATATTGTATGAAACTTCAGTACCTATTGTACGTATATCAGACTCATCATCTTTGGACCAAGTCATGAATTCTATTTTGTTTTGTTCGGTTTTGGTATTTTGGTTTTGATCCTCTTCATGAATATTAATGTCTACAACGTGATTGGCTGTTGCAGCATACACATGTTCGACACCATTTACTGTATTAGTTGCAACAAGTCCACCGAGAGTTCCAATCGAATCGAACTCCGCTCTATTTATCACCCTACTTTTGAGTGATGCCCCGGTACATCCGAGCAGGTGAATACGCTCCCCTTTCATCCATGGCACAAAATTGAATTTGTACCCAGGTATATGCTTTTTGATGTAGCGTGACGCTTTCTTCACATAACCATCAACGATGTGAATTGTGTAGTAGCCATCTTCCCGCATTCCATAGCCCCTCACCACTGGAATCCTATAAAAATTCATTTTATCTATAATCACAATAACATAAGGGTTGAATAATAGTTTCCATCCTTCTCTGGGTAATTATTTTCCCTTTCGATTCGTAAAATTTCAATCATATGTTATCTTAACCCTTAACGTTGTGTCTTTATAACAAAATCGAAGAACTTCCGTCGGAGGAAATTGTTATTGTCATCAAGAATGAGGTCGATTTGTATCTATATGTTTCACCCGTATTTTAATAGTAACATGCGGTTACAGAAAGGCAGGGGGGGGGGGGATTTCCCAAAGATGACCTTTTGTATTGGCACGTTCGAAAGCAAATTTTATTAACAGGCCTCATTTGCCATTGAAATGGATCTCCAAATGTTCGCTGTAGTTTTATGGGTATTCTCTACAAGTATGGATCGAGTAACTTCAATAGTATTACCGTAGGTTTGAATTGATGATGTTGAACTGATGTGAACGCCATTCCCACGATTTCAATTTTAACATTGCGCATGCGCAGCACTGAGAGAGCATGCGCTCATGATTGTTCACGTGATCACATCCTGAAATTTGATTGGAGATGATGCGGGAGATGACGTAATGGGGAATCCCCGAATACGATAGAATATAAAAGAATTTTGGGAGCTACTCACTTCTTCTGAAAGGCTAGTCAGTCATGAATTAGTGATGAAAATAAAAAAAATCTCCAACGGAAGTTCATCCATTTTGTCATAAAGACGTATCGTCTTGATAATCAGGTGGACCAGTGGATTGGTATATATCATTCAGATACCATTTTGTTAAAAAGGTTTAACTTCTTAATTGGTATGCTACCAAACCATAAATACCAAAACAGTATTCTTCATCTTTATTTGAAGAAACTTGTTTTATTGCTCAATTTCACCGGAATTGGGTATTAAAATTGTTGTTATTCTAAGTATATTTGATTTTATTATACCAATTTCTGTTGTTTGAAAAGTTCTAAAAATTAGAAATGTTAATATTGGCGGAAAAAACATATTAAACATACTTTCTCAGTATTTTTTCTGCACATGGGAGTAGTTCTTCATAAGGTTTCTTTTCCGTAGGATTTTCTTGACGGGGAGAAGAATCAACTGGCAAATCAACCATTTCTTTTTGTTTGCAGACATTCTCGAATATTGTAGATTTGTCGGTGGGTTGAGAAATCATGTGGGGTTCACTTTCTGTTTTTCTCAGTTTTGTTAATATCCCGTCCTCACCTGTTGGACATTCATCTGTTTTGGGTGCAGTTCAAATCTCCTCCTCTTCTGCTTCATCCTCTCTCAAAGCCTCCATTATTGTAGCATACTTAATTTTCTTTTGTATTTCTAAATATGAAAGCATTATGTTTCTGTTAACTTATTAAAGGCCCTGGTAAGTTTGAAATTATTGTTTTCATCCAAATATCTCACGATCATCATTGGCAAAATGAATATGTCACAATCTCAAAAACTTTTCATTACATCTTTAATACTTATCAATGTGGTAATATCAAATAAAGTAGTTTAAAAGAAGTAGGTCAACAAATTAAGAGATGTTCCATAAATGTTTTTTTGTATGTCAGAATTTTACTCTAGTTTTCAAGTAAGTATGTAATCAGATTTTGATAAAACTGAAAATTAAAAAAGTTATTAAAGAAAAGGTGGCCATTAAACAATTCTGTCCGGGCTACTAATTAGTTAAAAATACGCAGGTTACAAAATATGTTTTAAGAAAATCTCAAAGTCTCTTGATGTGTCTAAAGACTTTTTGGGTGTAGTTTTGCATGATGCTATGCATTTCTAAAAATTAAAAGTGAATCCCGAGGGCAGATTTTTATGACACAAAGTTAATGTATTTAAAAAACTAAAATAAAAATAGATCTTTGCTTACAAATTGCGAAAAGTACTTTTGAAAAGAATTGAGAGGGGGGGGGGTTAGATCGACCCCCTCCCTGCAGGCATGGGGTTAGCCTATAAATTAGCACTAAGGAGTTAAGCTAATTGTTTCCCAAAGAAAATATAGCTCTGGATTTACGAGTGAATAATGCAGATTATGCAGTGTCATCTTTCACTATCAGATATTAATTTAAAGCGATTTTCCGAAAGTGATATTGCATGAAAGATCAATGAATATCAGTAAAATGAAGGCTTTGATTTTTCAGGAAATTGGGTATATCGCAATCTGAATTTGAGATATTTTAAAAGACAACGGCATGGTAAATTCAGATTCCGTTGTCATTGACGATATCGAAGACGCTATATTGTGGCGATTCACGAATCAATTTGATCAAAATTGGGATTTCATATAATACATCATCACAAGAGCTTATACATGCACAGAATTGGCGATAATAAAGTCCCATGAAACGAGGACCAAGTAATTGAAGAGTTAAAGCGACAGTTATGTCCGCCATTTGTGACAACGGTATCTGACTTTACCGTTGTCAGGCTATTCCGGTGTGCTAATGTGATTTCCTTTTTTACGAAATGTTCTTATAT